GTGCTGCAGGTACCTCGAAGACGAGGCTGGAGCAATGGCGCTGCAGGTAAGTCCCTCTGGCCTCTGTCCAATCTCTCTCTCCCTAGTACTACTCTAGCTGCTATGGCGCCCAGCGCTGAAGACTACAGCTAACGCTACTAGCGCCCAGCGCTGCAGACTACGGCTAACACTACTACTACTCACCCTGCAGCGCTCCTCCAGAGTGCTGCTGCCGAATCCTGAAGATTACTGACTGCCTCCTGCCTCCCCGTGAAGTTCATGGGAAGTCCCTATGTACTACCTCGGCCTGCCTCCTGACTGCCTCCGACTGCCTGCAGTTGCAGGGCGGGCAGTCCAGGAGGCTGCTCTTGCCAATGCCAAACTGAGCCAGGGTCTGGCGCTGCAGCTGTCGTGGGAACAGGCCAAAAATAGCCTGTTCCTAAAACCCTGGTTTGGTGCCTGAGTTTCAGGGCAGGTCGGTCTGATGAAAGACCGAAAATGGCCCTTCGTTTCAGGCTAAAAAGGCTACTGCCATTTTTAGTCTGAAACGACACAGGGTCTGTAGGCCCTGGTTTTCGAGTTGAACGGACACGGGCCCTGTAGCCCCTGGTTTTCAGGCTTTCAGCCTGTGAGGGACGTAGGGCCTGGAAAATGGCCCTCGTGTGCAGGCGCAGCATGTAACACCCCCCCCTCCTTATGAAGTCAAGCCAGGGCGAGGGCGAAGCTGACGATCTGAAGGTGGAACCTGGACGCGAGTGCAGCGTGGAACCGAAGAGACTGGCTTGCGTTGCATCTTGCGTTTGTAGCGTGCGAGAACGTCTGGAGCTGTTGCTTGAAGTTCCGCACGGGTCAACCAACGGTCGGCTCAGTGTGTGCAGTATGCAAAATGGACCAAGTACTCGGTTGGCCTGTTGCCGTAGCGTCGCTGGGAGATGATGTCGCCGACCTCTTGAAAACCATCCAAGAGGGTGGGTCCTCCGATCGTCGCCCGGGAAAATCGTCATGTTCCGCTGGCGTGTAAAGAGCCAACTTGGAGCAATGAAAGACCGGGTAGACGGGCAAGTGGGCGGGCACCTGAATAGTGAAGGAAGGTCCCTCGGGTGCATCCCCAGTGGGTGTCACGATCGGCCAGGGCCCCATCCATTTCGGGAGGAGCTTGCAAGGGATATCTTGTTCAAGGCTGAATTTCACGGCGGAAACCCAAACGAGATCGCCGACGCGGAATGGGCAAGGAAGACGTTGGTGATTGGCCTGTTGGCTCATGCGTTGCTGCGTCTTGACCATATGGTCGCGTGCCTTGACAAGTAGCTCTTGCATCCGACGTAAGAAAAAAAATGGTCGTCGCTCTCGGCCGTTCGTGGAATGATTGTGTCCAACGGCGAAGTGACCGGCGAGCAGTGCTCGAATTCGAAGGGCAACATCCCGATAGCCAGGTGGATGGACGGGTTGTAGGCCAACTCGACATCCAGCAGCCGCTCCATCCAATCCTTTTGGTCGGGGCGGATGAGAGTGCGAAGGAGAACCTGTGCGGTCTGATGCGCCCTCTCCGTTTGGCCATCGGTCTGGGGGTGGCGAGATGAACTGGGCTTGAGAGATGAGCCCCATCGCTTGATGAGCGCCAACCAAAAATCGGACATGAACCGAGTGTCGGTGTCGCAGACAATTTCCTTGGGGCAACCCTTGGTTCGAATCCAATCGGCGTAAAGAACCTCGGCCAACTCCGATGCCTTGGCATGATAGCGGCAAGGCAAAAACATGGCGAACTTGGTGAGTCGGTCGACCACCGTGAGAATCCCATCCACGCCGGTCTTGTGCTTGGGGAACGGGCCGATAATGTCCATGGCAATCGCTTCCCTTCACTGCAAGGGGACCGGTAATGGTCGCAAGTCGCCGTATGGACTATGGTTGCGAAATTTGCAGCGTCGGCAAACCTCGCATGACTCGCAATAGCGTGTGACGTCGCTGAGAAGGCCGAACCACCAAAATCGCTCGCGAAGTCGGCCAATCGTGCGATTGACTCCAAAGTGTTCGGTGGCGAGAGCATCATGGAACTCGCCAAGAAGCCGTGTACGCAAGTGAGGGTTACTCGGTACGCAAAGAAGGTCCTTCCCCCGTGTGTGGACAAGCAAGTACCCCTCTTGGATCCGGTAGTGAGAAGGCGCTAGATTAGGAGAGGAACAATTCCCGTACTTGTCGCGAAACTCGGGTCGGCTTGGTAGCCGCGGATGAAGCTGTCCCGCAGGTCGTTGTCGATCTCGAAGGTTGAATAGACCGCGGTACAATGATCCGGACGCCGTGAAAGAGCATCCGCAAAACGGTTCGAATTCCCTGGAATGTGATCGGGAAAAAAGTCGAACTGGTCAATGAAAGGCATCCATCGAGCGATGGTGTTGTTGACAGTGTTTTGGGTTTTGTAAAAAACCAACGGATTGTTGTCCGTTACCCATCGGAATTGGCTTCGACCAAGGAGGAAGTGCCGCCACCGCTTGAGCACGTGGACGAAGGCGAGGAGCTCCTTCTTGCGTGCATCGTCAATGGAGTGCACGACGGACACTTTCTTGATGAAATACTCGACCGGGTGTCAATCCACGCCATCGTATTGCTCGAGGACGACACCAATGTCATAGCCGGACGCATCCGTAGTGACGCGCGTAGGCAAAAGTGACTCGTATATGCGCAAGACCTCCGCAGATAATAGCGCGGCTTTGAGAGCCAAAAATGATTCCCGCGCCTCCTCTCCGAAGTCAAACGGTCGATCCTCGCATTGAAGCTTGGTCAAGCGGGTCTCAAACAATATATTTTAATGAATAGTTAAAAAATATATATATATTTTTTCAAGTTGTCGGACCTAGACATAAAAACCGCACCTCTACCGCTAAGAGATGCGCATGAACTGTTTTTTTCCCTAATAAATAGTTAAGATTATTAAGAACATCTATTTTTTGTTCTGTTTTCAAGTTCCCCCTCACAATGCACTTGGATCCATATCTTACTTCACCACACACAAAACCTGCATCGTAAATACTAAGAAATCCGCATGTGTCTAGAGTGTATGTTTTGGTTGTGACAAACCTTTTTTGTTTCATGGTTGTTTTGCTTGTGATGGGGTATGAACCGACAGTTCCTAAAATTTTCCACCTAGTTTGGGTGAGTGATAGTCTGGTTTGATTTTCGTCATAAATACCTTGAGGGAAATGGTTGGTGCCCACCTCAAGGTATCAATTGTCTGACAATTGTTGATAAGTAACCATAATTAGGGTTAAGCTGTAATCAGTTATGGGATTTTGCAGACGGTTGCAACAGAAAAAAATTCCAGAATTAAATAATCATTTTATAGTAAAATTACATTCTAAATTTCAAATTTTCATTCCATCTTAAAAAATGTCATTATAATCTTAAAATTTGTCGTCTTACTTGAAAATTTTCCTTCAAAGAATGGGGTATCCCTTCTTATTTGAACTCCATGCTAGAGATGAAATGAAAGTCTGGATGGCTTCATGAGATATTTTAATTGGACTATCATTCTAAGTAAGGAGTTTCGGTCATAAATACGTCAATCCAATATAAATTAGAAGATATTTGTTGTAGTGGAATGAAAGTTTAATTAAAACATTTCATAAACTCGTCTAGACTTTCATTCCATGTTGAACAAATAGATGTAGTTGGAAGGGAAAACTCGTATTTAGACGGAAACTTATCAAATAAAACTGAAAATTTTAGAATTGGACGAATATTGGAATGATAATTTATAAATATGTTAGTCTGTTGAATCGGACATCCGAGACCCCCCTGGCCGTCCGAGATGTCCGACCGGACGTCTGGTCAGACGTCGGACCGGACATGGTATTTTCGACTTAGCCCCCCCCCCCAAAAAAAAAAAATAAAAAAATCATGTGGCTTCCACCTTGCATTAGGTATATGCCACCAAATTTTTGGACCATTTGGGCCAGTAGAATAAATAATAAAAATCTTCAAAGATTCTAATCCCCACCTATAACCCTCCTATCCCTACCAAAGTATAGTATAGCAAAGTCACAAAGAACTCATCGTACAAGAACGTAGAGAAGCCAATTACAAAATTTGAATTACAAACAAAGTGAATTGACAAAGTACAAACAAAGTACAAGACCCGTAGGTCTTTACGTTACAACCACAATCCCGTGATCCGCCGTTCCTTCCACCAACCCTTCGCACTATCGCTTCCTCCAGCATTCCGGAATGCCAGAGGTCGCGACTAGTGCGCTAACCAAAGAGGTCTTCCTTATCTGTACTTACTGTATTTATAGGAACTGCCTCTACCGTGTACTCTCACTAAACAGTATACTACGAATTCTCAAAAAATCAAAGGGGTACGTCGGATTATCTTGAAGTCCCTCGAATCACGCGGCCGCTATCGGGTCTGCCTAATTCAGACACCAAAGGGCACACTCCTAAAACACTTCCGCARGTGAAAAACCATACAAGTCGATATACCGGTACCTGGTTCGAGTCCCGCATACACGGTATTCAAAAAAGGAAAGAAACGAAACGAAGAGAGACATCCACACCTCAACCTACCGGTGCCTGGTTCAAATCCCAAGCACCCAAACGAAACGAAGAGAAACAACCAAACCTCAGCCTACCGGTACCTACCTACCCTGTCCCATTATCACCCATGACTAGAGTTACCGCCTGCTTCCAAACCTCATCACGCCGGTAAGCAAATCGTCGCAGGACCTTGCCAAACAAGTCCATAGGGAAGCTCTTCATCCTTAGCTCACTTTTCAAAGAGAGAACCCAACATGGGATCTCACTCCGAATCGACGTATTTCGGTCGATTCTATGTAGGTAGCTGCTTATTGTAGCACTCTTCTGTTGTTTACTGCCCCAAGACAGGTAAGACTGGCCGCACTGAAATTCTAAGTCGTTAGTACCCCAGATGCTGTTCTTGTTTTTGGACATCTGGATACTTCCCAATAATGGATAGGATCGTGAACATTTGACCACACAACCCAGAAAATCCGCCACTCCGGATCCGTCATCAGTCCTCTTCAAGGTAAGATTTTTCGGATAGCATGACCCAAATTCTTTGAAGACCCACTCCAGGCTTTCGCCAGCCAATGACACAGTGATCAGGATAACATCGTCCATCAGTCTCATTCCAAACACCTGACGGTCGTACCTACCCAGGCTCCTCACAAACACATACTCAGAATATGCACATAGTATGCAAGCCAATGGGGGGCTGGTGCTCTTCCCCATTGGAATGCCCACATCTTGCCTGAGTAGTACTCCCGTAGCATATGTGTAGGTGTGTTGTAGGTCGATCTTGACAAATTTAGCCAAGTCTGCAAATTTCAGCGCTCTCCAGTGGTCGCTTCTTGTGGTAAGACCAAAGGAGGCTCCTCTGCCTCGTGTATTAACTCGCACGATGTCTCTCCCTTTCGCAGTATGAAAGTCCAAAATCCAATCGAGGGCACGAATGATATCCTTATGCGGGAGGCGACTGAACATGTCCTTTATATCAAGGGACTGCACAGTTGCCTCCCGCACAGAACCCAAATGACGAATCTTACGATTCACTGATTCACATCGAGCCATTAGATGGGATACAGCCTGCAAATTAAAATGATCGTTAACAGGTAGTCTGAACAGCATCAGGTTCAGCCCTTTCGCGACAGCTCTCCCCGTACGGACCATCGGCTCCATGAGGTGGGGCATATGGGCCGAAATCGGGTGACATCCTTGTGTTTTGGCGTAATGTATGCCGATCCAATACACCCGTGCTTGTCCCATCTAGCAAACCCTTTGAGACCTGCTGATTCAATCTCCTCTCGGACTTCCCTCAGAACAACTGATTCGGTAACAGTCATAACCCTGTAGCCTGAGCTCCAAATGAACATGTTCATTATGGCCTCGTAATACACCTTCAGGCACATGACAAAGGTTTCACCAGGATTACGATCCAACGGTGTTAGGACCAATCCATCAATGATGAAACCTGACTTGACCCCATCAAACAATTCGCCAATGATACGAGAGAGGGAAACGACACCTTCCCTCTAAAGTTTCTCCAACTTTGGAAACCGCTCACAATTTCTTCCCGCAATACCTTCAACCGGTCCCCAGTCTGGCTAATAGGAATATTGTTTGCATTTGCCAACAGAGGGTGATCTACCATATCTGCATTCAAGCGAAATTGCACGTGCCCATCCAACCTTGGATAGGGTAAACCTGCACACTGTCAGGTCAGCACACGTCGAGTGGCGTACACTCGATGATTGTGCAAAATTCCCGCAACTGACTGGTTCTTCTGCTAGACAATTCGGGTTTTCTTACGTGCACGTTGCAAGAAGCAGATAGGCCGGTCGCACTCCATTAATGCATCATTCACAATCTTACGTAATTGAGATAGCTTAATCCTATCATCAAACTTGACTTTAATCAACAGATCGGCACTAAGACTGAGGTCAAACTTATCCAAGAAAATCCTCGAAACCAAGCGGCGGAGATATTTTCGAGTTGACTTCTGACTGAAGTCTTTCACCACACGATACAAACGAAGCAGTGAGCGCATATCCCAATTGTACAACTTACCAAAATTATGAGGGTTCTTCAAGTTAAGCATACCAATGAGCACATGTTTCAAATACCGGCACTGAGGTTTCCAGATTCTCAAATATTGGATGCATACACAACCCCCGTTTTCAAAGCAAGCTTTACCCTCCTTCAGTGACCGACTTTTCCCGTCAACACTCAACGAAGACTTTCCAAATGTTCGAACAATCTTTTTCCACAGGACCGACTAGATGTTACGTCCACTGGTGTACAAATTGAACACAACTACGCCCTGCTCCGCCTGTCTCTTAAGAATCGCAAATAAGTCAAGCTGCCATGCCTCACCAGTGCTCAAGCGAAAACGAATAGGTGCTATCGTTCAAAATTCCCCATTCGTCTCCCCAACTCTATTCCTCTCCTTCTTACCCCTGTTACTCTTCTTCGTGCGAGACTTCCTCTTTCTGACTCCAGACGTATTCAAATACGGGGACCACTGACGGATATATACATCTTCTAATTTGGTCAACTCCTCGTTGGTTGCCGAATCCACTGGTATCAGTACGTACTTACCAACCCCGAATGCACCCAACCATCGGTAAAAATGACAGGGGCTTCGCTTACGACAGGCATACAAGTGTTCCCGCCAACGTATATCTACGTTGCGGGTTGTCTTTCCAATATACTGCGATTTATAGTACGGTGAAACTGCCACGTATGCACAACTTGTGATATTGACAAATTGCGTACCATAATTCTCATACAACCTATGCCAGGCTGGAACGCATTTCTGTGCCCAACGTATCTCACCGGCTAGTGCAAGTCGTACGATCACCAGACGGAGTAACTCCTCCACGCCCACGTCGATTGGTTGATTCCGCGCTCTCCATGCAGCAAGACAGTCAACGATCGCCCAAAGCTCGGGGATGCCAAACACTCTTCACTCTGCGTCCGCCTTCTCGGCAATTTCTTCGGCCTCCACGGCCTCCACCTCATGAGAGGTTTCCGCCTCGTCTTCCTCGGTACCGTATGCCATACGGGTACAATGTGCGGCTATGTTGAAAATAGCTTCGAACTTCCCGTTATACGGGACGCCCTCGTCTTTACACATGTTCTGGAGGACTAGTGCATCCAGATTCTTCAGCTCTTGCAACATCTGCCTCTCGTACTTCAATCGTCCGACGGGACCGATGGCTGCAGGGGTCTTCTTCTTCGTCCCCGACCTTGGAGTTGCCTTCTTGGGAGTGATGCACTTCGCTCTGGCCCGAGTCATCCTTGCAGTCAACTTGGCTGGTTTGACAACCGACTTCTTTGGAGTCCGTTTAGGAGGTAGCTCCATCGGGGGGCTGTTCTCGAAAACTGGTTCGGGGCCGCGTTTCCGCTTCTCGGATATATACAGATTCCTTGTACGAGCGCTCAGTTCTTCAGTTCCACTGCCGCCTGAGCTACTTCCCGTCCCCGAATTACATGTTTCTTCACAAACCTTCTGTTTGCCTTGACTGGCCGCCGTACATGATAGCTCGGAGATGACCTGCCGAATTTCAGCTCGGACATCTTCTCTAACATCTTCCCGCAGTTCACCGAAACGGACTGCGACTTGAACATCCACATTCTTGTTCATTTCCTCGACAAACTTTGCTTTCTTAAGCTTCTTCTCGACTTTCTTTTTCCGCTTCATCTCCTGTGCCAATTGTTCAGCTTCGGCACGCTCCTGGGCCTCCAGTCGTTCCGCCTTCCGTCGCTCCTTCTCCGCCTTTTTCATTTGCTCGTTTTCCACGTATTGGCAGACTGCCGCTACACTTTGTCCAATCTCCGCCACCTTAGACTCAATCGGGTCCATGGATGATGTTCGCCTAGAAGGTTCGCGATTCTGCCGATACGGAGATGTAGATCTCCCGCGCCACAAACAAAGTACTAGACCCGCAGGTCTCCACGTTACAACCACAATCCCGTGATCCGCCGTTCCTTCCACCAACCCTCCGCACTATCGCTTCCTCCAGCATTCCGGAATGCCAGAGGTTGCGACTAGTGCGCTAACCAAAGAGGTCTTCCTTATATGTACTTACTGTATTTATAGGAACTGCCTCTACCGTGTACTCTCACTAAACAGTGTACTACGAATTCTCAAAAAATCACATGGGTACGTCGGATTATCTCGAAGTCCTTCGAATCACGCGGCCGCTATCGGGTCTGCCTAATTCAGACACCAAAGGGCACACTCCTAAAACACTTCCGCARGTGAAAAACCATACAAGTCGATATACCGGTACCTGGTTCGAGTCCCGCATACACGGTATTCAAAAAAGGAAAGAAACGAAACGAAGAGAGACATCCATCCAAACCTCAGCCTACCGGCTGTCTCTTATACACATCTAGATGTGTATAAGAGACAGGCCAAAGGGCACACTCCTAAAACACTTCCGCAAGTGAAAAACCATACAAGTCGATATACCGGTACCTGGTTCGAGTCCCGCATACACGGTATTCAAAAAAGGAAAGAAACGAAACGAAGAGAGACATCCAAACCTCAGCCTACCGGTGCCTGGTTCGAATCCCTAGCACCCAAACGAAACGAAGAGAAACAACCAAACCTCAGCCTACCGGTACCTACCTACCCTGTCCTATTATCACAAATACCACCCTATCACCAAATGCTCAGAAAAATCTGAAAATTTGTGTGGTGGGTCTCTAGGGCATGCACAACACTGTGAGTTTTATTCATTTATTTATTTATTTGATTTATTTATTTAATTTATTTATTTAATTTTATTTTTTTAGTGTCAAAAAGCCGTCGTCCGGAAATCCGGACGACGGGGGTACTTGACGTCCGGGGGAGACGTCCGGTCTCCGGACCATTGGTAACCTAGTAAATATGAATGATTTTTTTTTTATTGAATGTTTTTTCAACTTTCATTTCTCGTGGTTATGTTGTGAGCCTGTGAGGTTTCAGCCTTCTGATGAGTCGGTGAAACTCCGACGAAACAGTTTGTCACAACCCCTCGTTTGTTGCCGTTTTCTCCCTCTCTTGCTACGATTTCCCGGACAACTCTGTTTATATATATATATATATATATATAT